CCAGCATCTGTTGTTTCTTGACTTTTTAATAATTGCCATTCTGACCAGTATAAGATGGTATCTCATTGTGGTTTTGATTTTCTTTTCTCTAATGATCAGTGAAGTTGAGATTTTTTTCATATTTTTGTTGGTTGCATAAATGTCTTCTTTTGAGAAGTGTCTGTTATGTCCTTTGCCCACTTTTTGTTGGGGTTGTTTTTATCTTGTAAATTTAAGTTCCATGTAAATTCTGGATCTTAGACCTTTGTCCGATAGGTAGATTGCAAAAATTTTCTCTCATTCTGTAGGTTGTCTGTGCGCTGTGATGATAGTTTCTTTTGATGTGCAGAAGCTCTTTAATTAGATCCTATTTGTCAATTTTAGCTTTTGTTGGAATTGCTTGTGGCAGTTTCTTCATAAAATCTTCTCCCATGCCTATGTCCTGAATGGTATTGCCTAGATTTTCTTCTAGGGTTTTTATGGTTTTGGGTTTTACATTTAAGTCTTTAGTCCATCTTGAGTAAATTTGTGTATAAGGTGTAAGAAAGGGGTCCAGTTTCAGTTGTCTGCATATGGCTAGCCAGTTTTCGCAGCCCCATTTCTTAAATAGGGAAATCTTTTCCCATTGCCTTTTTTTTTTTTTCTTTTGGTCAGGTTTGCCCAAGATCAAATGATTGTAGATGTGTAGTCTTATTTCTGAGGTCACTATTCTGTTCCATTGATGTGTGTTGTTTTGGTACCAGTACCATGCTGTTTTGGTTACTGTAGCCTTTTAGTATAGTTTGAAGTCAGGTAGCATGATGCCTCCAGCTTTGTTCTTTTTGCTTAGGATTGTCTTGGCTATGTGGGCTCTTTTTTGGTTCCGTATGAAATTTAAAGTAGTTTTTTCTAATTCTTTGAAGAATGCCAGTGGTAGTTTGATGGGAATAGCATTATTTTAGGCAGTATGGCCATTTTCATGATACTGATTCTTCCTATTCATGAGGATGGAATGTTTTTTCATTTGTGTGTGTCCTCAGTTTTTCTTTGAGCAGTGGTTTGTAGTTCTTGAAGAGGTCCTTCACTTCCCTTGTTAGCTGTATTCCTAGGTATTTTATTCTCTGTAGCAATTGTGAATGGGAGTTCATTCATGATTTGGCTCTCTGTCTATTATTGATGTATAGGAATGCTTGTGATTTTTGCACATTGATTTTATATCCTGAGACTTTGCTGAAGTCGCTTATCAGCTTAAAGAGTTTTTGGGCTGAGACGATGGGGTTTTCTAAATATAGGATCATGTCGTCTGCAAAGAGAGACAATTTGACTTTGTCTCTTCCTGTTTGAATATCCTTTCTTTCTCTTGCCTGATTGCCCTGGCCAGAACTTCCAGTACCGTGTTGAATAGGAGTGGTAAAAGTACATTCTTGTTTTGTGCCGGTTTTCAAAGGGAATGCTTCCAGCATTTGCCCATTCAGTGTGATTTTGGCTGTGTTTGTCATAAATAACTCTTATTATTTTGAGGTATGTTGCAGCAGTACCTAGTTTATTTAGAGTTTCTAACATAAAGGGATATTGAATTTTTTCAAAGGCCTTTTCTGCATCTATTGAGAGAGTCTTGTGGTTTTTGTCATTGGTTCTGTTTATGTGATAGATGACATTTATTGATTTGCGTACGTTGAAACAACCTTGCTTCCTAGGGATGAAGCTGACTTGATGGTGATGGATAAGCTTTTTGATGTGCTGCTGGATTCAGTTTACCAGTATTTTACTGAGGATTTTTGCATTGATGTTCATCAGGGATATTGGCCTGAAGTTTTTTTGTTGTGTCTCTGCCAGGCTTTGGTATCAGGATGATGCTGGCCTCATAAAATGAGTTAGGGAGGAGTCCTTCCTTTTCAATTATTTGGAATAGTTTCAGAAGGAATGGTACCAGCTCCTCTTTGTACCTCTGGTATAATTTGGCTGTGAATCCATCTGGTCCTGGACTTTTTTTGGTTGGTAGGCTATTTATTACTGCCTCAATTTCAGAACTTGTTATTGGTCTAGTCAAATATTCGACTTCTTCCTGGTTTAGTCTTCAGAGGGTGTATGTGTCCAGGAATTTATCCATTTCTTCTAGATTTTCTAGTTTATTTGTGTAGAGGTGTTTATCATATTCTCTGATGGTAGTTGTATTTCTGTGGGATCAGTGGCGATATCCCCTGTATCATTTTTATTGTTTTATTATCATTTTTTATTGTTTTATCTGTGGGATCAGTGATGATATCGCCTGCATCATTTTTTATTGCTATTTGATTCTTTATTCATTCAGTATGCTTATAGTTATTAATTACAATAAAAATACCTCATCTGTTAAAGGGATTAGTGCACCTCTCTGTGCAAGTTCCTCATCTATAAAATAGGTTTAATAAAACTACCTACCTGTCTTAAAGTTGTTGAGAGGATTAAATGATTTAACACAAAGAAAGTTCTCAAAAAATGTCAGGTATGGTTAGGTATCCCATGACTATATTTTACCACAAATCTTTTGGGATTCATTGTTTATATTTTTGTACCATTAAACAATGTTTACCTTTAACTTGTAAAATTAAATTTGTGTCATGAATGAATATTAAAGACTGAATTGTTACCATGGATTTTGAGTGATGTGTTCATAGTTATATTGAATATTAGGCTTAATTTCAGGCTTAAAAACATACTTTTAAATAAGGAGCAAGAGAAAACAATTATTTCATTTTTAAAATGACATTAGAATGTTAGTGATTGCGTGAACAGAACATTCTCTGTTCCTCACCCTTTTTTGAGTCTTGCATAAGTATAATCTGACACTGAGTTAAGAGTTAATTGATACCGTATCTTGCATGGTCAACCTGCAGTTAAAGTTATTAAGCAAGAAAATGAGATGTAAACTAACTAAGATCTCCACATGGCCTGGAATGACCAATGGTTTGTTATATAGCACAAAATTATGAATAAATGTTATGTAAATACTAAATTAGATTTTTAAAAGAATGATTGAATATCTGATTCTTTTAAATCAGAGAAAATCAGGGGAAAGGTGTCCTATTGAAATTCTTTTTCTTTAAAAATTATAACCACTGAAAATTGGATAGGCCACCTCACAATAAAGAGTCCTCCCCATCAAAGAAGTGTTAGTGTTGAGGTAACCCATCATTTAGGAGTATGACCATTTCTACATCTGGCAGGAAGTTGAACTATACAACTTCTGATTTATTTTTTCAATTCTAACATTTCACAAAATTAAAGAAATTGAGAATCTATTCTAGATATTGTTCTTGTTTTTACATTGATGCCCTCTTCATTTTCTGTTTGACATGAGTTATCAAAGCACAAAGTTTTGAATCATAGGCGGTTTTCTTCTGACATGATTCGGGAAATAATTTGAGCTATTTATATGTCTACAAAGTACTTTTATCCACCAGAGTATTTGACAATAGGTTGTTATAATTTATCCTTCCAAAAGGTAGAATAAGTATCAAAAACCAGATGGAATTGGATGATTTTGTGAAATAACCACACAATATAAATTGTATTTGAAAAACAAATTTGGCATTGGTCATCTAGATACCAAGAAAGACAAGAAACTTTTATCTGAGGGACATGAGCTCTTTTAAATTACCAGGCCCAGTGGGGGCATTAAAATGTGAAAGTAGTCATCTCTCACTCCCCTCCTTGAGCTAAGTAATCTGTCTGCTGTATGGACTTTAGACTGTCGCCACCAAGTAACCATTAAACTAACCTAACAATGCCATATGCTAGGCACCATAACTCATACCCTATAGTTCAACAATGTATAGCCAATTACTAATCAGTTATTTCTGTACACCAATGAGAATTCTTGACAAACAAGTTTTGTAATTGCCCCCTCTCCTAATTTGTCCTTTTTTCTTTAAAAACATGAGCCTCTCCTTCATTCTCTGGAGCACTTCTCAGCATTTCCCAGCCTGCAGTCTTCAACCTTGACCCAAATAAACTCACTATATTAATTTTGCTCACTTTATGTCTTTAGGTCAATGATACTTAACATTACTTCTTTTGCCAACCTTTATCTTACCCCTTCTGCCAAAGTAAAAATTTTGGTTTACTCATATAATGAAAAAAAAATCAAAATCTGAAACAGAGGGAGAATAGAATGGATATATTATCTCTCAAATGTCTCATCACACTTCCTCTCTTTATTTGATTTCAGTTTTTTAGGTCCATTTCTGCCAGTGTTGTCCTAGGAGCCAGGGCGGGTGGGGGGGTGGGCAATGTTTCTTCTTTGCTGTTTTAAGTCTTTTAATGTGTTTGTTTAATGTTTATTATAGTTTTATATACAGATGGGCTTCATATGACCCATAAATCTTGTTCCTGGTGCTGAGAATACACTGGTTAATCCAATAGATATGGTCACTGCCCTGCTTGAACTTAGTGTGATGGAGAAGACAAATAAATTCACTGTTATGTAATTGTAACTCATGCGAAGAAAAGAAACAGATTACAGTGATAGGGAACATGATGAGGGTGTGGCATGAGGACACTGCTTTAGTCAGAAAAGATCCTTTCAAAAATCATAAAATTTAAGCAGAGACTTGAAAGATAAGAAAAGTAATGTTCCAGGTAGAGGAACCAACATGGGTCAAGTCCCTGAGGTGCAAAAGAGCCTCATTCTAACTTTCTTTTTGTGCCAGTTTGAACCATAAACAACTAATTTAACTTGCTTCTGAAATTGTTATGATTTGATGCAGCTCATTTCCATTGTCAGCACCCAAAAGTAGTTACCTCTTCACTTTGTACATTCAACCTTGCAAGACCCCCTGAGCCTTCAAAGTATCAAATTTAGTCTCAATTTAAATATGAGGCTGCTAATACTTCCTGTATAGGAAACTTTCAGTACACATTAGTTCCCTTTCTTCTCGTAGCATTGTTGGTGATGTGTTTGCTGGGCTACTCCTTCCCGTCTAACCCCCAGGGGTATGGAGGATTTGCTGTGGGAATAGGGAAGCAACAAACAAGAGAAATACCATTGTCTCCAGACCTACCCCTTTTCTTTCCGTATTAAGGCTCCCAAGGGTCTCTGCCTCCTCTTGAGTCTCTCCCAACTTAACTTCTTGAGCTCAGGTCAGTTTAGGGATGTTATCAGGACATTCAGCAATCTACAAAAAGACCCAAGTCCTCGTTTCCATTACACCCTGCCCACCATGTGTTCCAGTTGTTTTCATTTCTTTTCTGCATGACTTCATCAAGAAGCTGTCCTGGTTGATGCTAAACGAGAGGTGAGGCGGGGACAAAGAGAATTACTCTGGCTTCCTCTTCATTCGTATTTCCCAGGTAGTGGTTCTCCCAAAGGCCTTGGTGGCCAGAATGAGGTGTGGCCTTGGTCTGCTGCTGAACTGGTAGAGGATTGACATTTTACCTCTGATTGGCAGCTCTAGAGAAAAACAGAACACCTGATTCCAGTAGTAGTTAAGACTTGGTGTGTCTCCTGATCCCACTTGAAGTTACTGTCTTACAAAGTAACTTTTTTCCTGGCAATACTAGGGATAGTGGGGGTGGAAGGAGGAGAACACTAGGACCTTTGGAACCTCTCCCTGTGCCTGTTTTTTCTCTTATCAGTAAAATGAGAGTGTTGGTGTATTCGTAGGGTCCCTTTTAGTTCAAACATATCACATTTCTAAATTTTAAACCATCTAGTAGTATTATCTCTGTCTGATGTGCATGATGTGTATATTGGAAATTATCCCAGTATGTGAGCCTGAAACGTATGTGGAACCTTACAGTCCTACTGGCTGAGCTGGATATATTCATTTATGAGCGCTGGTTGGGATTGTAATTCAAAAACTTTGTACCAACATTATATCTTCCTGCAAGATTTGTGAATGTTATTGAAAGTAGGACTGTATACCCTGAGGGTGAAGCCAGCTAACTAAACCTGAATTAACATGCATCACCAAAGAGTGATGATCACAGATGTTGTGGTAAATGACTTGAAAGATCCTTTGCTTCACTTTGTCAAAAGGATCAAATTGTATTGAAATAGCACCCCGCAATATAATTCTGAATTCTGTCACTCTAAATTGGTCCTTCCTTCTTTTGCAGGAGCTATTGTGACAATCTTGGTTACCATCCATTAAGTGCTGCTGATTTTGGAAAGATCATGAAAAACGTCTTTCCAAACATGAAGGCACGTCGTTTGGGCACAAGAGGCAAATCTAAATATCCTTTACCAGAATGGTTTTAGTAATATCTCTATGTTCTCACTTGTTATAGAACATCTGTTGTTGTAGTTCAACTGGCAACTTTATTTAGAAATAAACTTCAAATTAAACCAACTCGAAAGCATTTAGTAGAATAATTGCTAATGTAACTTTCACAGGTATTTATCACACTATGAGAGAAATAGCAAATAATGGTTTATTCATAGATTAGAATTGTGATAGATTTTATCTTACTCTATCAATGTAAAGTGTTCTTAATGGTCTGATCTTCTTTAACAGTAAGAAGTTTTGAGGCCTGCTATATGTTCAGCAATTATATGAACAAAAGTGGAGGAAGATGCTAGCTTATCATCTTTTCTTCCTTTAATTTATAAACATAGGGGATCTCCTTGGCAAAAAAAAAAAAAAAAACTTATGGAACTTTAACAGAAACACTAATCTTTCAGTACAAATATTTTTCAGCCATCCATTTAAAGCCTGTGTTAAAATTAAAGCCAGAGTATAGAAAAGGTCCTTCTTGTGATGGAGAAATACTTAGGAGCCAACAGAAGTAAGGACATTAAAATTAAGAATTCATTATAGTTATTTCTCCTTTTAGAAGAAGATTGTAAAATAGAGGATCTCTGTATCATATTAGGATTACATCCATTTTCTCCCTCCTTAGCTCTTGTCCTTTTTTCAGAGCATAAAATGGAGGGGAGGAGATGAGAGAGGAAGGGGAAGGGAAGAAACTTACTTTTCTAAAATGGTTCCAGGTATTCTCTAACCACTTGTTGCGTGATATATTCTTGCTTCCCAAATGCAAACAAAAATGTTTTGATGTGTCCTTGGCATGTTACAGGTGATAATCCTGTATGTTTCAGTGGAAAAAGAGAAACGAAAAGGTTAAAGCCCTTGTGACACTATTAAGAGTTGTTTTTGTCCCAGTGCCCTGGGCTAAAGTTTCCCTTCCCTGTGCCAGGTTTCCATCTGGCTATTCCTTTCCTTCTGACCTGTTTGTTACTGGTGGCTGGCACAGCATATTAGGAACATTTATTCATAAAATTTATAACAGATGAGAATCCTTTCATTTAAGAGAGTAGTATTTAACATTCTGAAAGGGTATTTCAGTTTCACAAGAGTAAAAATGTCCCAAGTTTTTAATATTAAGGTTTTTCTTACTGAAGATTTCAGAAAGTAGATGTTATATATCATGTTTATTTTATTCTCATTTTATATATGGTTACTTCTAAAGTGTTACCAGTATAAGCAATTCATTTAATTTTGAATATTTGGACCTTAACTGTATATTACATATTGCTACAGTGGACTAAGAAAAAAAGCTTTTGTTCATATGCCAACACTGCCCAACCTTGACTTTCACAAAACTGGAGATGGGGTAAGAATTCAGCCTTTTCTTTTTAATAAGTAAACCTTTATATCAACATTAAAATGCATCCTGCAAAGTGTCATTTGGTTAAGGCTAGCAACTGTGCCTTTTACAAATAATAATAAAAAACAAAAATCACACAGTGACTGAAAAATGTTAGTGTATATGACCTATGTCAGCATGAAATTTGGGGGAACAAAGTTTCAAAGTTACTGATTTCTCGATATTTCCAAAATATATATTGACTATATGTGTGTATAGTCAAGAGGAAAAAGTCAGTCATCATGTAATGTTTTATAGGAATTTTAGAAAAAATATGTGGCTATTGGCATAGTTTTATTGACATTAGAAAGATTCAAAATATCAGTCTTGTATGTTGAAAAACCATTTAAAATGTTATATTCGCAAGGCTGCTGACTGCTGTGCACTAGTGGGTATGAGTCCCTTATTTGCAGAGCTCTTGTATGTCTGCCAGTGGGTCAATTCATACTACTTTAACGCACAGATTTAGATTCTATCTTCTAATTAAGAATACGTATCTTTTACGTGCTTCAATTTAATTTCTCTGGTCTTTTACAAGTTAACGTTTCCTTTTCTTTGCCTAGTTGGAAGGAGCTGAACCTTCTGGGCAGCTTCAAAATATTGATGAAGAAGTTATCTCCTCTGCTTGCCGTCTTGTGTGTGAGTGGGCCCAGAAAGTGTTGAGCCAACCATTTGACACTGTCTTGGAATTAGCCCGCTTCCTTGTAAAAAGTCACTATATAGGCACCAAGTCAATGGCAGCTCTAACTGTAATGGCAGCAGCACCACCAGGTACGACATTACTGTGAACAAGCTAAAAACTGACAGGTATTATTGTATTTAGAATTGGTAGCAAAAGAAGAGTTAGATCAAAGAACTTCATCCTTTTAGTACTTGTATGGGTTCACTCTTACTCCACTTAACACTAAATTCAGATGGGTTTGTTGAGCCAAGAAAATAATAATCCTTTCATTATAAAGCTTAATGCTATGTTTTTATAGATTGCTTTGCTGGCATATAAAACTAGATTCTCCAGCCGATATGTTATTAATTTTTCCATTGCTATTTTTACATTTATAGAATGTGTTTATATGTACTTTTATATGTACATATATGTGTATCTAAATAAATATTAGAAGTAAAAAAATACGATTAAATTTTTAAATTACTTGTTAGATTCCTATTCCAAAAACTAATGCTTATAAATAAAATTATCTTTCCACACTGTGACAGGTAACTGAGTCTCAAAAAAAAAAACACTGTACGAAGGCTTACTATAAAATAACAAGTGATGTTTTTTACTGTGCATTCATATGACTTTTTATTCAAAGATGAATTTTTGGAATCGACAGTTTTGGGAATTGACAGTCTTGTTAGAATGACTCCCTCCTAAATTAATAGTTGTGTAAAATATCAGTTCTGATGAATTCTTTAAAATATCTTATTTCAGTTATACCTTATAAACCTAGAGTGGATAAATTATTCTAGAAAATTATGATGTCTATTAAAAATGCAGTGATATAGTGATCTGAGACTTATTTTTCCAATGACTGTCCTTCTAAGTGTTAATTCTAAATATTTTAAAATCTACAATAGACTTATCCTGGCCAGAATTATAGTCTCTTAATTAACTTCACTTGTTTGTTTAGTATCTTTTACACATTAATAATGAGTCTGTTTTCTTCTAATTTTACATTTAGTATGTGGGATGTATATGTGTGTAACCTCTCATTTTGTGGTCAGTTGAAGACCCATTTCAGAAAAATAATGTCATATAGTTTTTCCTGTCTACATCTAAACTGTATGACCTAAATCTGTTTATTCATTATACTGACCAGCAGGAGAATGCTTGACCAGCCTTATTGAGCTAAATAGCTCACATATGTTACCTCATTTAATTCCCCCAGCAGTTCTGTGAGATAGGTGATATTTATTCCCAATTTATAGACTTGGAGAGGCCAGTTAACTTGTTCATGGGCATGTAAGTAATGGAGCCAGGATTTGAATCCTGATTTGTCTGTCTACAAAGCCCAGCTTCACTCAATTATGTCATAATGTCATATGGTAGAATAAGCTTTAAAAGGAGCGAACCCTTCAGTTTGCTCTGCTCTCTTTCTCCTATCCCTGCCGACATCTAGAAGAGAACTTCAACAGATGGAGGATTTAGGAGGTATCATGGAGAAAAGAAACATCTCTTTCCTATTTCTCTCATTTGCAAAGTCTAACTGAGGGAAATATTGAATGAATTGAATGAATGAATTTTTAAGGCATAAGTGTTAAATAAAGGTGTGAGTTTTTTAAACAAAAGTGCTAAAAATTACATATATAAAAAAGAGACTCCATTTTTGAAAGCAATCAGCCTGAGAGGGTAAACACTTTACCAACTGTATCATTACTCAGAACATTTTTAGAATGTCTCTCAAAATTTTGATCTCAGCCCCTTACTATATTTTTCAAAAAAGACCTTTGATAGTAGACTAATCTTCATCCTTTGAAGGTGAATTTGTTTTTTTATAAATATAGTCTCCATATTAAGAACAGGTTGTGTTACAAATGTCCTTTTGTAAGTCAGCTGCTTGGAACTCATTCCTATCTAAAAACCCTGGCAGGAAGGTAAGACAGCCAATTTGTGAGCCATTGGCAGAGGCTCTCCGGGGTGCAGGTGCTGAGAAGCCAGAGCTGAGGCTTGGGGTCGGGAAGGGGCAAAACAATTCGAGCTGGATTTGAGAGGAAAAATCATGATTTTTAAAAGGGGCTGGGGGTTCAACAGATCCTCCTCATTATCAAGTGTGGGGAGAGAGTTATAGCTTCCTCATTCTCTATTTCCTGCTCCCCACACCAAGTAGTTGTTGTTAATTAGAATGATGAAAAGCAGAAATTGAGATGGGGAAAAGAAAAGACTTAAAGGCCAAGGTGTACCAGCAGGATAGTTGTTCCTCCCCTTTCTTCTCTTCATTGTTTTTATTGCCCACAACTTACTTTCTAATGATCTCAGTGCCATGCCCTAAATCTGAAATGAGCTTTTTAAACATTTTATTATATGATCCATTTTTCCTAAAATTTGTATTTTGCGTATTTTGTCAGTTTTTTTCAGTCTTTATCTTACTGTTTTAAAGGTTTTCGCAGTGACACTTTTTTGGAATATCTTAACGTTAGTCTTAATAAGAAATTCTGCTTCTTAATTTCTTCTAGGTCATACAGGAATAATTGTATAGTAGCAATATAATAATAATGCCTATTTCCATGAATTTCTGGTAGAATTAAAAACTGTTTTCTCCATATAAATTTTTTCCATTATGGGGAGTGGCTTCAGCAAATATGTATGGAATTATTGAATGCCCCTCATGGGCTAAGTATTAAAATCATGAAAATACATGTATTTATTTCTGATTAGAAATGGGGGAGGGAAATTTACTGACCTTTGAGAAAATGTAAAAATGCTGTGTTGGCATTTATCTTAGCTTCTGCACATTTATGATATAGCTACTGTGTTTAAAATCCTGTTGATTTAACTGAAACTATCACCTGAGCTGAACCATATTATAAGATGACAAAGCTATATTGACAATTGTTTATAAATTCGAAGTCTAATGCTTTATACAGAAATTGTGAGTTAAAATTTTGGTTGCTTTGTCCAGTAGATGGCTACATTTTCAAAGAAATTCAAAGGAACCTGCCTTCTATAAAGGAGAGTATTTATTTTAGCTTTCCTTTCTGTTTATTTTCAGGAATTAAAGGAATTACCCAGCCTTCTGCTTTTATACCAACAGCTGAAAGTAATTCCTTTCAGCCTCAGGTGAAGACTTTGCCATCTCCAATTGATGCTAAACAGCAGTTGCAACGGAAAATCCAGAAGAAGCAGCAAGAACAGAAACTACAATCCCCTTTGCCAGGAGAATCCGCAGCAAAAAAATCAGAAAGTGCTACAAGCAATGGAGTAACGAATCTTCCTAATGGAAATCCTTCAATCCTTTCTCCTCAACCTATTGGTATCGTTGTGGCAGCTGTCCCTAGTCCCATTCCGGTAATATAATTAAATAGTATTTGGCCTTATTGGGATGGTGGGAAATCAATTGTTTATTTAAAAGTGGCAGATGAAAAGAAGGCAAGTACAAGTGTAGCCACAAACTGGTTTTGTGACTACAGGAAGATTCCCCTTCAGTCTTTCAGTCAGGATGTATATTGTTGATTACAAAGTAAGCTATGAAACATTATGGAAAATATAAAGATCCAAGACATACAAAGTATGCACATAACCACTCAGAGCTTTATGTAAGAGTTCTCATTTTTAGAGTTGTTTCATCCCTGGCTGAGCCAAGATAATTTTTTTTTTTTTTTTTTTTTTTGAGACAGAGTGTCTCTGTCTCCCAGACTGGAGTGCAGTGCCGCAATCTCGGCTCACTCCATCCTCCACCTCCTGGGTTCAAGCAATTCTTCTGCCTCAGCCTCCCAAGTAACTGGGATTACAGGCACTCACCACCACACCCAGCTAATTTTTGTATTTTTTGTATTTTGT